ACTTTATATAGATGTTAAGGTTGAGGCTAGATCTCTCCAACAAAACAAGCCATTAATCCAATCTCCTTGTTACAAATATGCCAAGCAGAATGCTTAAGGTAGAAAGATATCATTGTTCATTTAGCCACCTCTCAACACACAAAATTCCCAGCCTGTCAGACATTCATCTGTTTGCCCTTCCCTGGCTTAAAGATGCTGAATTACCCTGAAGTAATCATATCACTTCTGACGTTATAATTTGCCAACTAAATATTTAGATGTCTTTTTGGAAGTAATATTTTCTCCATATTTTATATTAATAGGTCGACGACTTTTCTCTTTAATTACTTTTGCCATGGCATATTGAAAATGAACTAAAATGACATAAAGAGTTAAGCCAAAATTAGATTCAGTCTCAGGAAAATAATTTGCCTAGAGGGGTAATTGAGGTCTTATCACTAGATAAATCAGACTAACTGAATCAGTGCCTGTTACTCTTTTGTTAAATAGATTCCAGTGAAAATGTGTGACTAGAGAGGAAATCCAAATAACCAAGTATTGGAAATGCATTAAAGCTGCATTAATCCATGACTTCGTTATATTTCACCTAGGGCTTGGTTGACATTTATCTTTGCTTAGTAAATGCTTTCTACTTTTACTGGTTTTCTTTAGCTATAAAAATTAATGATCTAAACAACATTTTAAGGAGATAATTTTAAACTTAGAGCCAACTAACTTTGGAAACTTTAGACAAATTATATATCAAAATGGGAATATTATTCATCTTACCTCTTTAATACAAAACTTGTATCAGGTAAAAATGAATAAATGTATTAATTCCTTTAACCTAGATGATTGAATAATACCAAAGGGAAAAGATCTGTTTTTTTTAAAGAATTTTTTTTTAACTGAGGTCTTCCAACACTCTCTCCTCCTTTAATTCTTTTATAAAACTAGAATAAAAAAGTAATACTATATTTTTTCCAAAAAAGCCCTTAGCAGTTTCTGATTTATACTATGCTTATTTGAGAAATGTATTTCCTTAGATATGCAAATGTTTAATAAGCATATAATAACATTCAATGTCCATAGTAATTAAATAAGTTTAATTTGAACATTGCTAGTCCATTCTTGCCATTGAAAATTACCAGGATTTAAAAATATTATTACCCAGTGGCTTCAGTGAGATGGGCTTAATTTTACAGGAGCATTGAACATTTTGTCATAATCCCTGCAATGATTATTGACAATTAACGTGGGTGGTAAACAAAGAAATCAGTGTATAAGCCTGTGTTGAAATGCACTGACTCTGGGAAGCCAGATTTTCTTTCAGAGGTGGAAGAGGTAAATACAGAACAAGAGGCTCCTTTATAACTACGTGTCTTTTAGCGTTATTTGAATTTTATAGCCAATTACCTATAATATTATTGCATGGAACATTTTAAAGAGGGGAACATATATGCACAGTCAGCACCAAGCTGGCTTTTGTCTATGATTTATGTTGAAGAAGCCTTCCTTGGGAAGCAGAAGCTCAGAGCATGATTGGTCAGGGCAAGTGTGGTTTCCTTCAGCCTTCACATTGCACAGGTAAAGAATTCTGCCGAGGCTCCAATGGGAGGAGCAACAGAACAAGTTAACAGGAGATCTGGACTGGAGTCCAGTCAGTGTCTCCCCTCCCACACCTCCCATCAAAAGAATGGGATGAAAAGAAACAAGCAAACAAATTCACCGTGATCGAGTAGATGCTAACTCTTAGCGACCCTGTAGGACAGGGTCGAACTGCCCCTGGGA